TAATACCAGAGGGCATTGTAAAAATACAAATAAGAGAATATTGGGTCAACTACAAAAATACCACTGATCACAAATTTACCTAACACGAAAACACAAAGAGCATATAAATATACTACCAAAATATATAGGCAATATTCAATAGAAACACAGTCCAAATTGAAAAAACAAAGAATATTGGCTATTTGGCTATATATTTTACAACTTTGTATTGATGATAAGGCCAAGATGGCTATACTTTATGATTTCTTGGCTGTAGAATGGGTCATAGAAATTCATGTAATTATTTAAAAATAAAAAAATGAAAGAAAATAAAATGAGAAAAATAAAACAAAATATATATCTTTCTTTAGCTTCCCAATCCAAATTAGTCTCCAAAAAAGGCTTCAATTTCCAAATCCCCTGTTTCACACACTTTGTTTTCCATTTCAAAGCACGTCTCCTCTTTCGTAACCATCCCCATTGAATTTCTCTGTTTTGCTACCATTATTACAAATGAGAAAAAACATAAAAAAAAAAAAAAAAGGATAGTAATGCATTTTGCATCTCGCAGTACATGAAGTGCTATAAGGGAGTCCAATTTTGCACAATCTAATTAAGCATAACTGATTGACATTGAATATAAAAGTAGAGTGTGGGACTCAATGGGAGGCATTAAAAGTAAAAGTTATTGGAAAACAACAAAAATAATTTATAAATGCAATTGGCAGGCAAAGATAATTTAGTCTCATAGCCATGTTGTAAAGAAAATCAAGCGGCAAGATTTATTATGTTTCAACCTATAAAACAGTATTATCAAATAGTTCAACATTTTTTCTCCCCCAAACATATTTATATGACCCAAGTGTACGCAAAAATGTTCATAGTAACTTATAGCATCGTTCTAAGTCAATGACTTCTCAACTGGAATTTCTTCAATAGTTGCATATCTCCTTATATTGGCTCTAATAAGTTACATAGGGAAACAGAAAAGAAAGCAAAGCCCACATAATTAGCACTAAAACAGGACTGATTCATTATGCTAGCCATAATTGCATGAAAATTCGAAACTCAACTTGCCTCTTCATCCATGGCTTTCCAACAAAAGGATGGGCATAAAGTCTTGGACTGACCTGAAGTTTAATGTAATTTGAAGCCGCATTCTACGAAAGCGCTTCCCAAATTTTAAATTATAACCTGCGGCAAGAATAAACACAAACAGAGCACTAAAAATTAATTTTCTATTCAAAAGCAACAGATAAAGATAGGAAGAAGAAAATGCCTTAACATCAATAATAAGGAAATTAATAATCGGAAACATAATAATGTGATAGAACCCAATAATTCATCAAATAACTGTTCTCAAAACCTTGGCCTAACCATTTCCCTAAACTAACCAGCCCATTCCCATAATCACCCAGTATCCAAAAAGTAGTTGACAAATCTTACTCCTTAAAATGTATTCAAATATAGAAAAAGTAGACAAATCGATGTGAAATGTAGCTCAAAGATAGTATCAATTGAACAAAAAAATTCAAAATTAAAACGGCACGAAAATGAAAGTGTCAAACTTATGAAAAATCCGTGTACGATGCCGACGAAGTTGAAATTTTACCTCTTTAAAGATAGTAGGAGAGGTATAAAAGATGTTAAAAAATTTATTCCAATTGACAATTTTTCTAATGAAGAAGAACCAATAAAAATTAAAAATAAGGCCCATATTTTATCTACCTACGGCCCAACCCCTTCTCCAAACATTGCAAAAGCAACAATCACACAATCATGGTCCAACCCCTTCTCCAAACATTGCAAAAGCAACAATCACACAATCATATAAAGGTTGCTTGTAAGTCACCAAGATTTCCTCGATTCACTTGAAAGAAATCGCTTTATTTGGTATTTTTGCACAACTTAGTAGACATGCACTTCGTGGTACCCCATTTTCAGGTTGACTGGGCAATTGCCTTTTTTGAGATTAAAGACTATTACGCTGGTAAACCTTTTGGTATCAATAGAAAATGAGCATTATTTAACTTTTCCAACGCATTAATCACACATCAAAAATTACCTGCACTTCCCCAACAAGCATCTATAATGCTGGGTTCAACACTAAATATTATAAAGTCACTCCATGAGTTTTTGTGGTTAAATGAATTCAATGTTGGCAATTGAGCTGCAGGCTTCAAGTTTTGTGCCAATTTCATTGTCATTAAAAATAATAATGAATAAATTGCCATTGGCAACTCAAGAATTATGCAATTGAGCACAAACCCCTGAAATTAGTCTAAATATGCTAAATGCATAAAGAAATATGAATTAATGGTTCAGTAAAGTTTGATATATAAATGAAGTTAACCGAAAATGAATTCCAATTTCAATTATCTTCGTTGGTTTGTACGTTAATGTAATGTTTTTTTAAGGTTATTATGTTTTACGTTTAGAATATTTTTTCCAAATTTTCGTAATGAAACTCTATTTTCTGTTTTCAGATGAACTTTTGTGAATAAATTTATGCTTGTTTGTTTTGTAAACGTGAAGTGGCTATTTAAAAGCACAAGCCACACTACTAAATCAAGATGATTACATAGTCAAAAATGTTTACAATGATTGAAGCAAAGCTATATAGTTCTCATATAGAAATAGCAAAAACATGGAAGAAACCAATGCATACAATGATTAGAAGGAAAAAATTGAAATTGAAACTAAAAGGTAGCTCACAGTGACAAGTAAGGCGGTATCACCCTCGGCTATCAGTTATAATCCATTCACAAATCATCTGCTTCTTTTAGGACCATCAACGACAAAACCCAGACATCAAAACATAGAAGAGAAAAGATATTATTGCTATTTGAATATTAATAAGCCAAAATTTGAGGGCCAGATGTAGGTAAGTTGGCTAGCTAGCAAGTAAACTTTCATGGATTTTTAATGGTGGATTGCAGGTTGCAGTTGAGATGTGAATACCTAGCTATTTAAAAAAAAAATCATTAGTAGGAAAACGTCTACAAAAGTATAAGGAATCCCAGAAAAGCAAAAATTGAGCAAAATAATGCACATCAAGCAAAAATTGTAGGTAGATGAAAAGAACTCAACTAAATTTTTACACTGCAAATTAAAAAAGCTAACAATTGAAAGCATCCGAATTTGTCCACATTAAAAGCACAAGAAACAACATGAAAATACCAGAAATAATTGAATTAAATACTTAATGAGTATGCACAAGTCAACTTGAAGCAAGGATAAATGAACAAAACAAAAAAACCAAATCATGAATGTGCAAAATGAAAACCTCTAAGTAGAGGTTTTAATAAAAGCTTCGGGCATACTGCAATATTCTATGATAAAGGAAATTTTCACCTATTGTAGATGTTCCTATGAAACAAGGTACACTAACCAAAAGGCACACCATTCTTATTCATAAAGTGCAAAAATTAGACGGGAAGATCTATTTACGATAATTCTTTACCCATTTATGCCTAGTTTTAGAGCATCAGGACAAGTTTATTATAAGGATATGGTCTAGTCTTCGATGATAAAATGCATATGTATTCAAGAGTAAATGGTTGCAAGAGTAATTCTCGTACCCACACAAAAAAAGGCAAAAATGGAAAGTCT